TTGAAAATATTCTCAGTGCAGTTGGAGCTAAGTCACCACATGTGTGCAAACCAACTATGAACATGCCATTGCATTCAATGTTCTCCCCATCTGAAGGGGTTCCCAGTTCATCAAAAATTTTAGTTAGTGTTCCATTAGAAATATATGACTGATCAACAAACCCAGAGACAGGGACAAATGAAGTTAGGCTTGGTGCACATGTATATGATTGTTTTAATTCCCCAGTCATATCATTCTCAGAATATAAGCATCTATGGACAGCATCAGATGATCCCTTACATGTGACTCTGCTGTCACCCTGTGGACTGGAAGATAATGATGAGGAAGACCTGTGTAAAGCTCTTTTTTTATCACTATCCTCACAAAAGTGGTTGCAAAGATGTAAAGAACCATCACAACAAGAAGGAGAAGCCTCTGATACAGTATCACTCCTCAATGAGCCATTATTCTCTCTTTTGGACTTTTTGACAAGTCCTGACCACACTTTCAAAAGCCTCTCATTTCTCCTGGCTGCATTTTGTGTATTGCCATCAGAGGAATCAACACCAACTACCTTTAATCCATACTGCAATGCTAAACACTGACTCAGGTAGCCTTTACCACTTCCAAGATCCAAAATCTAAAAAAAATAAAAGTTCAGTATTCACCAAAATATAATGGAGCGAAATTACAAGGCCATAAACTTGTATCTTACGGGTTTAGATGGAAGATACTTAAATCAATAGCCATGGAAAGCGTAGAAATATATCTGCTCCATCACAAGCTTTTAATTTACCTTATTGACTTGGAATCGCTTTGCTAATCTACTAATCACATCCGACATCACATCGACCTCGTACGATTTCTTTGGTGTCATGATATGAGAAATAAAATTCACTTTGCTGTTGCTAGTAAACTCCCTTTGATCTTTCACCCAAGTAAAACTCTTAAGTTGAGCTTGCCTCGATTCCTCGAGAAACAATCTCAGGTGTTCACCGAGTGTTCTGTATTCTTCTGAAGTATTATCATAAGCCAAAGTAGGTAGGTGAGTGAGTTGCTTGTGTGAAAGTGATTCGAGATCTTCTCTAAGTTGAGGCGATAAAAGGGATTCCCAGTGATTGGAAGTGAAGAATTCAACCATATGGGCATCCATCAATTCCTTCTTACTTTCTAAATAAGCAATCAAACGTTTAAAATCTTCGTTCAAGTGGTCTAGATTCGGATTACTAGTTGCTTGTATGGACGCCATGTTGGATATTGGGATAGAGTAAAGACTGGTCTCTAGTTACCAGTACCAAAGTAGCGTGCTCTTTTAAAGTATTCCATGGCAAGCAAATCTTGCAATCGATTGGGCAAAAGGCGGCTCTAAACTGAAACTCTATGGAGGTTTTGCATTCGGGAAAAATCTGAAAATCAGGGGGATTCCGAAAGAAAACAAGCATTTTAAGCATTGTTTCGTAGGTTCAAGGAAACTTCCTGTAACCATTTTCTGAAAACCTTATTGTTTTTTCTCAGAAGAGCGAACGGCTTCTGTTGCGTTATAGGGCAAGAGGAAACGGTGCGTTTTCAGCGATTGAAAAGAGAATTGAGAGGGGGATGGGTAAGGATGCATTTAACCGCGCTTTTGCTGATAAAATTTTCAGAAACTTCATGTAGGTAAAGGGATACCAAGAAGAAAAATTGGTTTCTATTTCAGGACAAAGTACCTTGTAACCATTCTTTGTTGCGTGCAAAGGTAATACCAGAACATCCCCCGCCGACATTCTCAGAAATTCCTGATCATTCGTTGATACAAATGACGTCATTCAATCCTCCTAAAACAAGTTCCTGCCTTGAAGTGCCCTGCTGGATTGAGGTCACCAACTTGGTGGTATCTGTTTTCTGTGCATGCTATAAAAGATAGATCGAATTGCCTTGCGTGCATTGGAAAGTTGCCATTTGTACGTTTAGCAATCATGAAGGCTCTTCTCCTACTTTTCAGTTTGGTTTCCATTGTTCCTGCGCTTTCATATTCTTCAAGGTCGGTTAGGTCTGGTAAGTTGCCAATTGATTATCATTTTCTTCGATGAAATTTAGTAACGAAATTTCCGGTTAGTAGATAGTCTCCAGTGTTGAAGCTTGAAGATTTGAACGACGGTCATTTTGCTCTTTTACCTATGAAATACTTATTACTAGAAAGAGCATTAGGATGATTTGATAAGTTGCTTCCAAAATTTCATCCTTTGCCATCTGAGTACCTTTAGCTGCTATGTGATTTAAAACACGAGCAAGTTCCCTTTTGGGAAAACCACATATCTGCGAGGACGAATAGAAATGTTATCAGACGTAAATAATCGAGTGCGAAACCTCTCTTTCTTTCTTTCCTTCTTTCTTTCTTTCTTTCTTTCTTTCTCTCTATCTTTCTTCCTTTCTTACATTTTTAATTTTCTAAGCTAATTATTGGCCTTAACTTTTTAGTTATGTTTCAGGTATTCACTGATAAAAAGCTGAGACAAGCATCGTCCGGCTATTAAATTTAAACTCAATTGCAAGTTTTTTCTGATCAAAAGTCTTTCAAGAATACTAAGATTCGAGGAACAGGAGAATGTTTCTGAGCACTAAAATCTCATTCAGCAAAATTCTAAGTTTACTTTAGTTGAGTTTCCTTTGACCTCGCTACCGACGGCCAGGGTCTCCTAAGACGACAATGCAAAAATTTGATAAACAGATCCTAAACTTCATAATTGTTACTTATCTTTCATCCACTTGACATATTAATAAACAATTGTTTTGTTTTTTTCTAAGTTGTAAGCAGACAGGGCCAAAAGATTGTTATGTGAGCATATTTTTGGCAAAGGTATATGAACTGCAGTAGTTTTGAAACGACGATCGTTCGTGTTTCTTAAATACTCAATAGGATATCGTATACTTTTATCATAAGTGCCTTTTTACAATGATTTCTTCCCTAATTTACTTACATCAGGTTTGAATTCGTCAACGTTAGTAGAGATTATTTGATGTATAAAATCGTTCGTTGATTTTAATTTCTTTTAAACTCAGACTGCGACGAGAATTGCCTAAAATGTGCAGATCCCAAGTCACATTTCCCGAAATGTCGAAGATGCAAAGAAGGCTATACACTGGTTAAAACTTACATTCGACGTAGATGCGAAAGCCAGTGCCCACCCGGATCAGGACAAGTACCGGTATGGGATCCAGTCATCAGAGCTTACATTTGCGATAGAAAAACAGGTTATTAAATCTGTGATGTATTGACGTCACCAATAGATTTTAGCAACAAATCGACTAATGTTGTGACAAGGAATGTTGCTCAACTTTAATTTATGGTTTGCAAATATGATGGCTTCAAACTTTTGGAGGAAAGATGGATATCCTACTGTGTTGTTCAGGGAATGTTCTTGGTAACTGATGCATTGAAGAGGGTAGCAAAAGTGGAAAGTGGTGGAGGGTAGGGGAGGGGAGGGGAAGTCCTGATCCCGTTTTATGCACGAACTGAAAAATTCACGTGTATTGCAGTTTAAACAATATTTCACGCGTCATGAATTTAAAAGGATTAACTTCAAACCTTACCTTACCTCTCCGTCGGTAAAATTTACGCTTCACGCATAAAGCCTTTGCCAACCTCATTAAGGTCAACGTTCTATAGGGTGGGCAAATTCACATTGGAGAAGCCTCGAAGCCTAATGTATGTTACTGGCGTAAGCCAAAGAGTGAGTAGGAGGTGAATTTCATTGCATAACAGGATCAGCAAAACTATACTTTTTTTTACATCCGATGTGACAACGTCAATGAAAGCAAAACTGGCAAACAAGGTTCAACTGTTTGCATTCGGTTGATATTCATTCACTCCCTCAGTTTATGTTGATGAGGTGATTATAAGTGATTAGAAAAATCAATTTCTGTTTTATCCTCGGTTTTTGTTGTGTTTCGCCATTTTCACTCTGACATTTGCTTTTTCGCACAGATTGTGACTGGCACGATTCCAACTGCGTAGAATGTCTAGGCAGTGGGTCATGCCTAAAGTGCAAGAAGAACTATGCCCTTAAACAAAAATCGTTCAAATATACTGGAGCTATCATCGGTCTAAACAAATGCGTTGACGACTGCGAAACATGCGTGGAGCCCCGAAGTAAAACTATTGTTTGCAAGACGACGGCAGGTATGTTTTCGACATAGTTGCTTCCCCTCAAAAAAGGTTTTATTGTTCTCAGTATGTCGGATGTTATTTGGAGTTCTATTTGGCTGATGCTGAAGGCAACCTTCGCTCCGATTAGCGGTTGTGAATATTTTGGTTCTGTTTTTCTCGAAACGGAAATGAAAACTGCTCTAATAATAGCATTTGTGTTTCTCCTCCAGCTTCGTGTTTAAACAGTCAGGCACCATCAACCCCTCACAGGAAAAGCCCACACAACTGTAAGCTCTTCCCTTATCAGTTGACTTCGTTTGATAGGTGTTTGAAACTTCCTTATTCGTCACGCTCATTACGTCATCCGTTTATATTTTTCTTTTTTCTTCTTCTTAGTACTCTTGTTACTTTCAGTGCCTTCCCCGAAAGTGCCAGCTGGAGCAGTAGGAACCAACCCGTCAACTAATATAGACTCAACTCCTGAACCTACCAGGGACGGGGCAATGACGGGCAGCAGTGAAGACACTGAGCCAACTGTGGATGAAATAGAAAATAATAATTAAAACTGTCAGGTTGAGTTACATCCTGATTATCTGCTTTCAACATCATTTGGGTAACTACCCGTCAAGAACAGTATAAGGTTTTGAGGCAATTCTGAAGATCTAGTGGCTTTAGTAGGAGGCCTATTTTATCCCGCTTTGATTTTCTTTGGAACAACCTCAATTCAAAACTGAACTAAAAACGTTTAAAAGATCATTGATACATCTTCAAAAAGCTCTTGATGAATAAAGATTATTACTGATTTGACTCTGCGTGGCTACCATTTGCTTAAAGTATCCCTGCATTAACCGTAAGCTAATAAATTACTCTATCAATATAAAAGGCTTGTGTTGTATAAAGCTGGTTTTAATCTTATGGAATATTTCTTATGGGAAATCTTAGACTAATGTACTGAGTTTGTTCTGTGCTATTTCTTTGAACTAAATCGAAATACAAAACCACATTAGGTGTCGGTGCCTTTATGACACTCCTTATTCGAAAGGTTCCCCTGTAACGTTTCTAATGCGCATGAAAATCGCTTAGAAATGTATGGCTTAAGATTTTGATCTATAAAAGTAGGCTATTGTAAACTTTATAGGTTACCTCACAATTCAACGTTTCAATTTGCGATGATACATTGTTTTCTGCTTACTTATGCTGAGAGTGCTTCATCTGTAAAAATGCATACATGTTTTGGAGTTAAAGATCATCGGAAGTCATACTTTCGATCCAAGATTATAATTAACGGGAAATGCAAAAACTCGACAAACAGCAGTGAAAAATTAAGAGCAACTCCATGCAAATATCGACCAAAGTGCGGCAAGGCTCAAACAA